TATACATTATCGGAAGTGTAAGTGTGAGTGTGCCCTCAGTGAGGGCATCTCAGCCCTGTGGCCAGGTTGTCATATTTCAAAAACTAAAAAAAAAAAAAAAAAAGGACAGAAACATGGATTCGCCCGTGAAAATGTCAAGATACATTCCCGTAAGTGCCAGTGTGATCAGGGTTACAATCCTCAGAGGGAACACAGCTCGAGCAGATCACGGATTCATATTGTCAGAGCCCAGAAAATGAAAACAAGAAGAAAAAAAAATGAACACATGGATTCGGCCTTGAAAACGGTTGGGTACATCAGTGTTACAATCATCTGAGGAAACAATACTACATCAGATCACGGATTCTGCCCTGGCTCGTTGGCAGGGTACTCATAACAAACAAATACAAAAGAAAAAAAGAAAACAACAAGTTTGAGAACGTGACCGTCTTTGCTGTAAGATGTATGTAAGACTGTGAGCACGGTCTCCTAGACATCCCTGCGCGACATCATTGCAGTACAAAGGCCCGTTTTTTTTCCTTTCCCTTTCGTGCACGGGCAAAAAAAAAAAAACGACTTTTGGGACATTGTCGACCCTCTGTCCGACCCCCGAAAACTTCGGGTACTGCCCAGCATCTCGTATTGTCCCAACACTGGGAAAGGTACTGGTGGTTTAAAGGGAAAAAAATGGAAAAAATAAATTGCGACTAAAAAAAGAATAAAGTGGCCTCCTGTTGGGCTTCAATTTTTTTTATTTTTTTTTTCTTTTTTTTTAAAAAAAGAAAAGGGCGACGGCCTTGAGATATTATCATTGAGCTGACCGGCCCCAGGCAATTCAGAAACAATTGGTTTCACTCGTCAATGTCCATCATCTAGATTCGAACACGGGTCGGGATTTCAACAATTCATTGGTGTACCCACTGAGCTAGGTTTTTGAGTAGGGGTTTCGATTTTGAGTCGTCCACGGCGGTTTCATTGATTCCAGCTTGTCGACGATGTTCCAGCTGTTTTCACGTCCCAATGTAATAGTTGTTTTTTTGTCTTTTTATTTTTTTCCTTCTTCTCTTCCTTGCATTTTGTTTCATTTCTGTACAATAACAAAAAACAAAATACAATGAGACACAGGCTCGACAAAACTCAGTGCGCAGTGAAATTCAGAGTCGATAAAAACAACATCAGAAGTTGCGGTGCTTTAATGCTATAATATATTTTTAGACCTACAACTACATCATGCTTTTTGTCAGACAATGATTTGATACTATTTTCTACTTTTATATTTCTCGTTTTCTTCAGTATCACATCGTAATAAGTCCTAACAGACACCAAACCCACTTCCCAGTTTTTGCAAAAAAATAAATAAAAAAAATAAAATGCGACGCTATCCACCCCTAACCACCGCGCAAGGGCAAGAAAGGTGAGAGCAGCACGAGCCGCGGTGGTCTCTAAACCTCACTGGTATACTATGTGCAACCTGAATGGAGTGAGCGTGACATCCATCAGATGCATGCTACCTGGAACAGATAAATCACCAACAGAGTTTGACTAGGGACTAGGGCGGCCATTTGCCTTCGGATTCGTTCAAAGACACAATCGCGAATCGCAGTTCCCAAATTCAAAGAGAACACGACTTTTTATCAATCCTCTTTCGCGATCAGAATTTTCGAACTCTTTCTAAGCTCGTGTTTTCATGTGCCTAAACTCAAATTCAGCTACTACAATCTCTTCCACCCTGGCTGCGCCCCCGCGCCCCGCGCGGTTATAGTCACCAAAATAGAGGTGCGAAGGCAGCGAAGGCAGTGAAGTCTGCTGTCTATTCGTTGACAATAGGGTCGCCCCTCCGCAGCGTCGAGGCAAGGTGCTTTTAGGGGTCTATACATAATACCTACACATGGCTCACACAGGCGCTGGTAGAGGTGGTAGGAACACCTCTCACTAGTATTTACTTCGCAGATGCTCCATGGTGGGGGGTAGCGTCTGCTACGGGTTCACGCACATTACAAAAAAACATACCTACAATACCGAACACACACATAACCATAGGGCTGGGAGGAGGTCACAACCAACTATTAATAGGCGTTTCGATGATAAGAGAGGGCGTGAGTTACTAGTAGGTCTACTTAGGGGCTAATAGGTGATTGCTTGAGCCTGGCGTTTAAAGTTCCCGTACGATGAGGCTCGTTTGACTGTGCTTCCACCAGGGCTGGGGCACTAGCCCTAGTGTCTGTTACTACTGTTCGGTCCAAGTTCCCCTCGATGGTAGGGTAATGGTCCGGAGTGCTGGTCACACTGAGGTAGGATAGTAGGAATAGGGGGTGTGCTAGGAGTATTGACGTGAGGATGGGATGGGAGGTAGCCTCGTCTCTTCAGGCTAACCATGGCTGACAACTTCCGGCAATCAATGTGAGCCTAGTAACTGGCCTCTACAACACCCTGGACGCAAGATTGAGTGAAAAACAAAAAGGGCGCAAGATTGTGTGTGTGTGTGTGTGTGTGAGAGAGAAAAAAAAAAAAAAAAAAAAGGTAAGTCTCCAACCTCGTGGCTGGCCTCATGGTACTTCCATCAATAGAATGTGGCACCCCACCAGCAAAAAAAACACGCACCTCCCCAACGGCAATGCCCACACTGGGCGGACTTCAGGCTAGATGCATGCAACTATGCTTGAAATCCTGAACGCCCCCCACTTCTTCCCGTTCCCTCTCGCACTTCAAAGTTTTCTGAATAAGAAACCCCTGGGCGTCGTCCGAAATGACCTCTGCACTACCCCTATAGGCTACCAGTGGTCCTTCGCTTTTTTCCTCTGCTAGGACCGCCTCAGTGATCGGTCCGTCTTATGACAAGGACCGCACCCTTCAACTTCATTTTCCCACCCCCTCTACGCCCATCTAAACCCTCAAAAGGTCATCGACGTTACCCGATCGGGAAATCCAAAATGCAATCGGGTATAGCGCAGCCTCCTGGCTGAGAACTAGGAATAGTTTCGGCCCTAACAGGCCTCTTCCCTGAAAGCTTTTCTACTGCGCCGTAAAGAAAATCTGCCCTCAAGGCCCTAAAAGCGAAGCAACCCAATCACCTCTTCTACATTACTTCCTATCGACCTTACCTATCCACCTAATACGGTGGTTGTTGACCAACTGACTCCTTCCACTTTCCTTTGTCCCTTTGCCTGTCTCGTGCAAACCATCAAGTGCCCGCCAACCAAGTGTCCCGGTTTGGATTTCGTTCCTACTACTTAAAAAAACAGTCTTCAAATATCATCTTCCCTATTTCCACTATTGCCATTTTTTTTTCCTTTTCCCCAACTGTTCTCACTTGATGCCTGCTTCCTTGTTTCTTGTTTTACTCACTTTCCTCTTCCAATCTGCCAAGATCGATCGTCTCATCAACTGAGTGAACGTCGATCTGGCTTGCTTATTCGTTCATTTTTTTGTCGCTAAACACCCTGTCGTTTTTCTCTTGCCAAATGACCATGCAAGCTACAACTCGGG